ACCCAGACCAGCACTGTTAGATGAAGCCAATGGGCTTCCCCCCAGATGGCCAGGCCACTCATCACAGGAGAGGACAAGTTCCCCATGTAGCCAGACCAAGTTAGATGAAGCCAACAGATCCCACACATGGCGAGGCCTCCCATCCCTGGAGGGGACAAGTTCCCCATGTACCCAGACCACCAATGTTAGATGAAGCCAATGGGTCCCCCACCTAGCCAGTGCTACTATCACTGGAGGGGACAAGTTCCCCATGTAGTTAGACCACCAATGTTAGGTGAAGCCAATGAGTCCCTTTGCCAGGCTGGGTTTCCTTTGGCATGCCCAAGCTATGCTGGTAGGTTGTTAGGGCCCTTACACCAAGTTCTCCACATGCAGGGAGTGACACCAATGTACATACATTGTCAGCACTAAATTGTTTTACACACGAGGGGGGGATGAACAGATTTAAATGTCAGTCTCTGTTTTGCATATTTTGTTTTACTCCCCTCCCTTATCAGTGATGCAATGAGTTCCCCCAGTGACATGACCAATATTACAGGAGAAAGAAAAGTCCCATCCCCCAAACCCCATGACCAGGCCTCCCATCACTGGAGAGGACAAGTTCCCTATGTAACCAGACCAATGTTAGGTGAAGCCAATGGGCCCCACACCTAGCCAGGCTTCCCATCACTGGAGAGTTCCCCATGTAGCCAGACCACCAATATTAGATGAAGCCAATGGGTCCCCCACATGGACAGGCCTCCCATCACCAAGGGGACAAGTCTGCTCTACACGCAGACCTCCAGTGTTCGATGAAGCAAGTTGTCCCCCTGTGAAAAAGACCTCCAATACTAGATTGTAAATTCCATGAGCCAGGCCTCCTATATTGTACTGCCCCCTTCATATTGTAAAGAGCTGTGTAACCTGTTGGTGCTATATGAATCCTGAATATTGCAGATATGTCCTCACCTGTAACTAGACCTCCCATCAGCAAAGAACATACACCCCCCCCCCCCCCACCCCAACCTACCCACTGGCCCAACCTCTGGTGTTATAGAAAGTAAATGAGGGCGACCCACCCCCACACCGCCCTGGAGCTGGCCTCAGTGCAGAAGACCTTTCAAGCCATGAGCAAACCCCCTTTCCTGAGGATGATGCCCCTTAGACCTTCAATATTACATGGCACAAAATTAGTTCATGTAGTCATACCACCACTGGGTGGGAGGGAGAACCCTCATAACACTGGAAGTATTTAGGTTTTGTGCTGCCCTAGGCAACACCAAAAAAAAAAAAAAATGAGATGCAGAGAGCCAGACACTGGCGACAGAGCGAGACTCCCCTTCACAGCTCTGGACATCCCCAGGAACGACAATCGGGCTCTGCATACACCATCAAGCAGCCTCTCAGATTCCACCTGGTCCCCATGCTGCATATGTTCCTTCCATGCCCCCCTAGGCAAATGCCTTGCGGTAATTACACCTCTGCTCCCACCCAACTGGACTGCCCATCTGTGAAGAAGATGAGGCCAGAGACACCTCAAGACCCCACCCCCAAAGAGAGGCACCTCAAGACCCCACCCCCAAAGAGAGAGGCACCTCAAGACCCCACCCCCAGAGACAGACATCTCAAGACGCACGTGTGTCTCAGCTAAGTGTATGCAGTCTCTATTCTGGATGGAGTGCAGAAGTGTTACAGCCTCTGTCAGGTTTTATGGTCCAATCAGGAAAATTTACCTTTACCCCAGGTTCACACCAATGAGGCAAATCCTCTGCATTTCCGCACTGCACCACCTCGCATTTGCACAGTGCGATTACAAGAATTCACATCACATGGGTGTGAAGACCCGTGCACTGCGAATCAGGTGCGTATAAACCACAGCAGAGAATTCAGGCCTGCTGGCCCTGTCCAGGTAAATCCCATCCCCATAAATTCCTGTGTATTGCTTTTCTTCTAGGTCAGCCATCAAGGAAATCTAGAGGGGACCCCCCCCCCCCCCAATATGCACAATGATGTGGCAAATGCCAATTGATTGCCAGTCATGCAGGTCTACCTACCAGGTTCACCACAAACCCAATATTCTCTGGCTCTGCAAGGTCAGCAATACCCAGCCAGGCCAGCTAGCATTTCAGAAGGTCAGGAACTACAACTCCTAGAAAAGGCTTTATGGTACCTAAATACCAAATTAGTTATCCCCCTCTGAAAAGCCTAGTCGCCTGGCCATCATACTGACTCTTTAGCCATTCACCCAGAAGTATACAGGTACAGAATTCACGACTTGCATTAGGTATGCAGCTGGGAGGTGGAAACTACAAAGGCAGGTTCTATTTCTAGAAGGTGCGCAATGGCCGCCCCCCCAGGTGATGTCAGGTGTGCTTTAGAAGTAGAGCAATGGCTACCCCCCCGGTGATGTCAGGTGTGCTTTAGAAGTAGAGCAATGGCTGCCCCCCCAGGTGATGTCAGGTGTGCTGTAAAAGAACAAAGTAAAACCATTCAGCCCAGGGACATCCTTATTGATGGTTGGGTGTCACCACCCTCTGCCCTACCAAGACAACTCTTGTGAAATCAAAAAACCAGATGAATAGATCAAAGCCATACCTATGAAGAGCCTCAGATGTACGCCAACACCACTCCTGGCAGGTGAACGGGTTCCAGTGCAGCAACAAGCTTGACATGTCCCATCCCTAGAACCAGCAGACGTTACCAGTCTATGACCTGGTGGGGTGAAATGGGGGGGGGGTTACCCCTTTAAAGAGTTTTCAGTAAAGCAAATAACAGATCAGACACAAGGAGATAGGTTTGTCAAGGTTTATTTTTAATGTGCAGGACTGTAAGATCAGTTACAGAATATTCCTGAGTGGGTTCTAAAGAAAAAGCTTTGGCAAAGGTACAGTTTATGTGCAAATGGTGGCAAAACGATTGTGTGGGCAGCCAGTGCCTACAGGGTCCTTTGTGGTGGTGGGGGAGGGGGGGGGAGATGGTTAACGGGCAGACCCTGCAGAGTCCGTAGTGGGGTGGACTCAGGTGGCCAGCCCCTGCAGAGCCTAGACTGAGGTTGGTCCCAGGAGGCTGGCCCAGGCACAGAATCTATAGCAGGTATGGCCTCCAGCTAGGAGTCATCACAGATGATCCTGAGCCAAGCAAAGTGTCAACCTTAGGGCTCTTGTGAACACCGAATGCAGAAATGTATAGATCTGGCTTTTTCCACCAGTCACAGGATTTGTTGTATTCACACAGCCCATGCATGACCTTTATATAAATATTAGTAGACCCGTATAATTCCAGCATTCAATGCACCCTCATTAGTTGAACACAATGTACCAGGGCTGCTGGCAAACATTAAAGGCACAGTTAGTGCTAGTAATCTTGACACTCAAACATGGGAGCCGTCATTGCTGTCAGAGGGTGCAAGTTCCAGAGCCATCATCTCAGTCCTTCATTACTGACCAACAACAAGCATACAAGTTAAAGGGTTCCCGCTTCACTGGTTGCATGCTTGTTTAAGATCAGTGACCGACTTGCCCCCTGTTGACTTACACCTTGAAACAAGTCAATGGTGGCTCCCATATTTGGACAGGTCTTTTTAGGTGGACCAGGCCACCAACTCATCTTCCAAGGGCTCCACAAGTAAAATGAAGTCCAATTTCTGCTACTGAATTTTAGGTATGGTTTCCAACAGCAAACCGATATAATGGAGGCATCAAGAGGCCAGAAAAATCGGAAGCTGATCACACCTACATCCAAATCTGAAATATTTAGATGGACATACAGAAGGAAAGGACAGAGGTCAACAAACAGGTTGTTGAAGTGATCAGTAACCAATCTGCCTGTTAAGTGGTAACCAGTTTTCCAAACTTAGAAGCAGGAATGTTCTAAAAAGTCATTGGCTTAGCAAGATCAGAAGGCACCAATTATTGAACTACATGGAACTAAAATTAAATCCAGTCTTCAAGATATTGCAGTGAATTTTAATCATCCTACCAGATCTGGTGTACATATCTCATCCCATTCCCACCACCTACAGCACAACAGGAGATTCAGAGCTTGACTATCACCCCTGAACCCCAAAAAAAAAGGTGCAATCTGAAAATTTCCCAAAACTACACTTCAAAAACATCCCTCGACATCTTTTCTACATATATTTTTAATTCTCAAAAATTGTGACACCAGAGGGGAAAAAAAAAAATAAAAAAAACCCCTTGAAGTTTAGCCAGTCTTTGGCAGTTTCATTAAATCCAAAAATAGTCTTTGCACCTGCCCACCTATTGTCCTATCGTGAACCCCGACTAGAGGGGGGTAGTAATACGTCCAAGCTGCGCAGGTAAGGCACAAGTATTCATCTTAAACATAAATAAGATATCCACGTCAACAAAAATATATATATTGCATAAAAAAAAAAAACAAAAACTCCTGCATTAAAGAACCCTCACCTACAAGACACAAAAATTTAACACTTTTTTTCTAATAAACTTTTCCTTCATTTTAAATTTTTTGAACAAAAATATTTATCAAATTTTAAATTTTTTTTTCACTTTAAGTTTTTTTTTTTAACCCTTCCCCCCTTCCCCCCCCCCCCCCCCCCCATTCAAGGTCTTTTAAAGACCAAGTTGCAAAAGCCTAAATCTTTCAGACTGCGGGAAACAAAAGCTAGATCAAGCCGTTGATAGAGTTGGAGTTTCACCCTGCTGGAGTTGGCTCATCTAAACAGTCAACACTGATTGGTTATAAAAGTTAAGGCCTTAACCGGCATAGCTACAGGTTTGACCTCTCCACTGTTGGCCCGCAGACCCAGAAGACCTAGCTTGTTAGACAGGAGTTAGACTCAAAACACTAATAGGCAACAGATAAATGTACACGGTCACATTCATTTCATCAAGACCATGAGACTTGGACAACCAAAAAAAAAAAAAAAAAAAGTCTATTTTCACAGGAGTAGCCCAGGCCACCTTCCGGTAGAGGTCAACAAGTGTCCAGTGTTATAAATTCAAGGGTCCACTATCCCAGAGTCCAGAAAAGTACACCCTCTAGCTACAAGGAAGCCATGTTGGATAGGACTGGCTGTAGGAGACGGCAGTGTTGGCAATGTAGTAATTGCTGAAGTTGGCGTCGCTGACGTAAGGGGCAGGCTGGTAGTAGCAGGTGACGTTCGTGGCGTTTGGTATAATGTTTTGTTCCGCCAGCACCCGGAGTGCCAACAGAGAGATGAGATTCAGAGTCTGCCTGCGTTCATGTCCCATTAAACACACTGTGCTCTCGTTAACCACTTTCCGTAGGATCATTAGGTAGTCATACTTGCTCTTCTCCTCACCTACAATAAAGTGGTTCTGGAGGTAGGACTCCAACTTGCGTTGCTGTTCAAAGATATCTGAGAAGTCTATGAAGAAACGAGAACACATGTAACGTTCTAGAGACTTAATCTGCTCCTTGTCTGATGGCTTAAAGTCACGCACCAGCAGATTGCTGTACTTCATGAGGCCACCACCTCGGATCTCCTCTGGGTTCTTTGTAGCTATGAGTTTGTTGCGCAGATGGTTTAGAGAAGCCTCGAAGTCTCCGTACATGCTCTCACCAATGACTGTGGGATGGAAGTGCTCAGACATGGGATTCTCAGAACAGTCATGGTAGAAGAGAAGCGAGTCCAGAACAATCTGGAAGGAGTCCACACTAAACTCAAACTGACGGCGGATGGAGTTGACAAACTTTAGCTCGATGTTCCTCCCGTCTTTGTTGGAGAGGGATATTAAGCTCCAGCGGTCTGCATCTGTGAAGACCTTGACCAGCTTTTGGACATAGGCCTCTTTCAGAGTCACCGGACTGATTTTCTCCTTGTTTACTCCCTCGGGCAGAAAGTTCAGAAGTAAACCAATAACCACATCCTTCACAAGCTGGAACTCTGCTTCTGAGGGCACGTTGACACCAAATATCAAATCCAAATCTTTATAGCCAAGGCCATTATCTTTCACCAAGACGTGGCTGGCTGCTGAACCATTGAGCCTCACATCCCTGACTTTGATCCCAGCATCCTCTAGTCTGCTGCGCACCAGCTGCACAATTTCTTTTAATGTGATCTTCAAGGTGGGAAAGTTGCCACGTCCATGGATGGGAACCACTTCTGTCAGAAAGCTGTTCAAGCGGTCTACTTGCTCCCAGGTGAGGACGCTTCTGGCTTTTGAGGAGCTGGTGGTGCCATTACTTTGGTCTGTCATTGTGAGGACAGTTTTTCTCCAGAATCACTATAAAAAGAAAAAACCAAACAGGTCAGAACCAGAGAAATTTCTAAAGGATAGTTAGTCATTTCAAGTGGAAGAGTGACTTTGAAAAAAATTATAAATAAAACGACCTTAAAGTTACATCTGATGCATGCTATGAAATGAAACCTCAGAAGGATCCATTAAATCACACCAATTCCTACGAGAGCAATTTTCTGAGTGTGACTTGTTAAAAGGAGTTACTGATCAACCATTGCCAGAAAGTAGTAGGCCCTTCTGGCTTTTATATAGAGCAGTGGTCTCCAAACTGGCCCATGAGCTAAATACAGACCTTGGGGCACAGTTCTTCCCACAGATACAAGGCAATATTCCTCCCACAGACACCAGGGGTGGGGCACCATTGCTCCTACTTACTACAGGTACTATGTAATTATATTTTTATTATTTTAATAAATTGCAGTGACCAAGCCTGAGACATGGTCTACTCCCACTGACACTGTTACGGTCTACTGCACTTGCTCTAGGCAGAGTACTTTGATCCGTAGAGTTCCTGGAACTGCTACTGGCAGGTGGTGGGTTACCAACAATTTCATTGCAAGTAAAGAAAATGCAGCACGAGATGTTTGGCTCACAAGATTGCACTGCCAACTCGCATAAAAAATAAATTTTAGATAATTATCCAGCACATACACTACCAAATTTCAAGAAGCTCAAAATATCAGAATGTAATTTTTTGCATACAGAAAAGCCACAAAGAAAAACCTGGAAATTCTAAGCAGTCAAGATGAGTATGCAGCCAAGTTCGTTGCAGAATGTGCACTAGAATGAAGTTCTACAAAGGTTTTTCTGACCAGTAACCACCAGCTGAAGAGCCTCATACCTACAATTAATGCTTCTGACTTTCTACTAAAGCAATAGTCTACTTACACGCCATCACCCAAGACCTGGAAATGTCAGAGAGACTAAGTATTTCATATTCAGCCCATGAAATCTCAGACCTCTACAGTGTTCAAAAGTAGAAAAAAAATGTCCCAGCTATATTTTCATTTTATTGATGGGATATGGCCCTTCTGTGCCTTTGGTGATTGAATAAAAGTTTCTTCACCAGGAAAGGTATTTAACACACCAATGTGGACTCCAAAGATTGACCAACACAAGGATCTAATCCTTTCACAGTCTGGATGTCTAGGCTTCCTGTCCATAACACTAGACCAGGGTTTCTCAACCAGGGGTACATGGAACCCTACAGTTCCTCCACAGATTGCAATAGCAATGAACAATTTTTAGCTCTCTAAAAAAAAAAATCAATTGGTGTCAGTGGAAACCTGTGTAAGGGAGTAATTCTTCCCAATGACTGCAAGAATAAGGAACATTCTACCCATTGACCATCATGCCAATGTATAATGTACAATGTACAAGTTGTAGTATAGTACATTTTATCAGGGGTTCCCCAAGTCCAGAAAGTTATTTCATGTGTTTACTCTGTGTTATAAAGGTTGAGAGTCTGAACTAGACAGATCTGACAACTGGAGAAAGCCCACCTTGAACAGTTGATAAGTGGTCACCAGAGCAATGCCCAGTGGCAGCCATGGGCACTAAACAGAAAGCAGGAGAGACCTCCCTGGAAAGGCAACCACATGTCAGAGGTTTCAATTCTTTTGGGGCTACATATCCTGGTTGAAGGTCTACTTTAATATTGCAAGTCTATTATATGGCCATACTACATCAGTTCCACCCCATCCAATTATATCTGGGGAAGACGCCACCATGCACCCACTTTCATATTAATCTTCCATTCTCATTGCGACGTGTAGTTTGCTTTTGTGTTAACCCAAAGCAACAGTTCATTTCTGAGCCTTCTATGAAAGAAGCAGACAGCTGCAGAGCCATCAACATCCAGATTCCACCCTTATCTGTATTCCAGTAATGCATCAGATGATCCCAAGAAATGAAGCATCTGGAGTTCAGACACCCACTCAGCATCCAAAGTCCACACTTTTCCCAAAGGTTGACGTCACAGCTCACTAGAGGCAAGGTCTAGTGACATCTGTCCCAGCAGGAGCCAGCTGCAAGGACACACACATGTTCCCCTCATCTGGAGTCCTCTTAATAAAATGGACCTATATGTCCCAGACAAGGAGGATTTTAAACCACTGCAACAGAGTATCTAAAAACAAAAAAAGGCAAAACCCTCAGCTTTGGATGACCAAGGATTAAGCTAGGTAAGGGTCTGATCAGCTATTGAGAGCGCCAAAGTTTCCCTCCGTCTTGTGATCGTAGTTACTAGGACAGAAGGATGGGAAATCACATTTCACAGTTGTCACCAAAAAACACAATTCAGAGGAAATTCTTATAATTGGAATACTTGTTCTAGTGAAGTTTGCAAAAATGTAAAATTTTGCTTTTTAGACAGATATTTCCTTCAACTCCCTGCTGTGTGACCAGGACAAAAATCCACTATTCTACGGTGCTAAAAGGTTTGCTCAGCACTGTACATTATAGTGGGGGACAGAACATGAGACAATACACGAGGGGTTCAAGGGCCCTGCTCCTTGGAGCTTACAATTTAGGAGGGAGGGGGTAGAGGTAAAGGATTGAAGTGGTGAATGAGGGGATGGAGTGGTGGGAGGAGTGGAGGAGATCGGCTGTTAGGTGGGGGTGAAGAGGTGGGTTTTCTTCCCTAAAGGTGAGGGTAGGTGACAGTTTGGGGTAGTGAAGTTCCAGAGGATGGGGGGGGAAGTCCTGCAGTTGGTGTGGGAGGAGACCAGGGAGCTAGAAGTAGGTCTTGTGAGGAGCAAAGAGTACGGGTTGGGTGTTATTTGGGTATCAGGTCGGTGAGGTAGTTTGGCAGCGCAATTGGTCAACCAGTGGAGGGAATGTGTTGGGGGGTGGAGCCAGTGGTGGGAATGACAGAGGGGGGTGGAGAACACTGAGTGGAGGGAATTGTAGAGGGGACACTAAGTGGAGGCCAGTGAGAGGGATTGGTAGAGGGGGGTGGCAGAAGCGGAGCGGTTGGTAAGGTGGATGAGTCTGGCCGCTGAGTTCAGGATAGACTGAAGCGGGGATAGTCTGCGATGAGGTCGGCCGGTGAGAAGGGAGTTGCAGTAGTCCAGATGTGAGATAAGGGAGTGAATGAAACAAAAAGGTACTACGGGCATTAAAAATGTATAATCCAAGTTAAACGTTTGTTAGATGGACCTAAAGACCCCTTCAGCATGCTGGCCTTCTCAATTCTGCAATGGCGGCCCTGCATTCTCAGCATGTGAGGCATACGTGCAGAATGGTTGTACTGAACTCATCATAGCAGTCTTATATGGAAAGATCCAGAATTAACCCAGCTGCCCAGCCCCCATCCCATCTTTAAGCAGCTCCAGAGCTGAACAACCCTAACAGAGGAACCCTTGAAATGGTTTTCCGATTTCAGGGAAACCCTGCCAAGTTACTATACCTACAACTCCTGATACATTAGGGTGATGGCTGGTGGGAAAAAGGATCCTTACAATGGTGGAAGTTGTAGGTGGGCAATTCTTTCAGACAGCCAAAGATCAATGATGTCAGTGGGAACTTATCCGAGGTAGAAATTTCTCATGGGAACCCCAGAAACCTCTGGAGGAACCTTAGGGTTCCATGGAATCCTGCTTGAGAAAACCCCTGATCTATAGCCTGGCTCTCTTCCAGCCCACATTGGAGTATTTACTGCTGTTGCATTCCCTGTAGTCAGATGTGCCTGAACCTCAGTGAAGAGATCCAACCCTCACATTCCCAACAAGACAAAGGAAGAACTACTGGATTGGCCAAAGTAACCCTTCTCAGATAAGATATCAAGCCCCCAGTCCGGCGCACATGACATTTCCAGGGCCGTTCCTCCATCTGAAAGTAAAACTACGACATGGAAACGTGCCAAGTACAGTGTACAGAGAGGCCTCTTACTGAGAAATGACAGCCATGTACTCGTACGTAGTGTACTCTGGCTCATTACCAGCCGCTCAACTTTTTATAGCACTGGGTGGCATGGTGCCACAGCAGGAAGTGAAGATGCCACAGAATTAAAGGACAACTCCTCCCAAAGCAAATAGTTCACATAAGCCTCGACACTGGTTTACACCTCTGGCACGGTTCTGAAGCTATGAATGCTTCCCATTTCTGCACTTACGGGTCTGTTGAATGGCCTGGTCACTAACTTTACAAGTCGCATGAGTACATTCCTGACCCGTCAAGATGCAGCAACTATTTCTGAAAACGCCACCTTTTAACAGAACAGTCCCTTTAGCTTCAGTCTGCCTTTGAAAAGACCAAGAGGCCAGTTTTCTGCAGGTAGAAGGAAGCATTTGCCATGTCTCCCCTGCCGTGATCTGCATAGTCCTTACCATGGATACTTGTCCCAGGTTAGGGACTAAATATTCAAGCCAGAGACTACCCTCAAGACCTCAAAGCTCAGGAAATGCTACACCTGGAAGCATAGGAACACAAGGGTGCGGGGATTCATGCATATACACTGGAAAACTATTTCAGTCAGAACTTGGTTCAAGCAGGAGGGAAGAACCTTTGATGAGCCCCTTTGAGAAAGATTTCCAGACTTTGGAAAAACTAACCTAGACTAGACTGAAGTTCCATATTAAGACCTATAGTGTGATTGCTGTACAGCTGCTCCAAGACCAGGGAAAACAGGACCTCCCTACAGTCCTCATATCATAACACTTCAGAGTTATATGTAGGACAGGACATTGACTATACAGTCTTTCCAGATCTACAGGAGACATCCAAGATGGCTGCTTAGCCCATAAGGCCACCAATGGCCTCATTTAAAGAATGTCAAGAGTGATGGCAGCTGCCCTTAAATGCCAATATCAGACCATAATCCTATTTACAACCACACAATCATTTTAGGGGTCAGATGGAACGTCAAAGCAAGGACCTCACTAAAACAGTCTTTGCCATTGCTGCACTGCCCAGTGGATACACTATATACTCAACTAACGATCTTTAAAAGTTGAGTA